ATTAGTGACAAGGAAATAAACCAGAAAATAGAAGAAAGAGTATTACTGAATATCAATCGTAATTAATAAAATAACAGCCTGAAGGCTTTTGGCGATTTTCTAATTTCATATATTATATATTTTATACGTTAAATATATCGCTCATCTCCTACAACAATGACATAATTAAACAATTGTCATTTTTTAATTGCTTACGCAAAAACCAAGAAAAAAATAGGAAAAGCACACTTCAAAGGGATATACGTACTTTTAATCCTTTATAATCAATTATGATACCAAAATTACATTTCGAAGTTAATATATTACATAATATAACATTATTAATTAAAATTTTAATAATTCAAAATTTATTTTTAAAAAATTTTGTTTTTTAATTATATATGTCGTTGTTATAATAAATAAACGATACATATTTGTAGGATTAATCTAGATTATTGTACGGGGTCAACTAGGCTCTCTCGTCAAGATTATTTTTATATTCACAGTTTCGACGCAGATTTTATACGGTGTCGTCGCAGATTTCGGCGAACGGGTTGGACGGAACGGGGTTTTTACGAGCGGTTTTGTTGCTCCGGTTGGTCGGTAGTCAGCACATTGTGCTCTACGCCGCCGATGGAAGGCGCGGTTTTGCGGTCGTTTGCCGACGGCTTCGAGGGCGTCCGCTACATGTTGAGAATAAATAAAAAGGAAAAGGAGGAAAACTGCGGGAAAGGGAAGACGTAGGCGAATAGGTGCGTACACGCCTCGTCTTTTAAAGGCCGCGCGTTCACAAGAATACCGGAAGAAACGTCGCAACCGTGAACAGAAGGGAAGTAATGATGCAATGATATGGGAAACATAATTAAATGTATATAAATAATTAAGTGTACGATAACGGTAATTTTTATAAATATTTAATGAAGGGAGAAAGGAAGAAAAATAGACGTAATTTATCTGGATCGACGGAAGTAATTTAATTATTCTGATTGAATAATTTTTCAAGTGGGATTTTCTATGTGTGAGAGCAATTTAGTGATCTTGATTAAATTATTCTCACATAAAAAGTTATCAATTATTTATTATTAAATTACACTTTAAAATTAAATTGAAATAAAATTTCGAAAACTTTAAAAAAGAATTTTTTATTTAATTTTTTTCCAAGTTTATCATTCAAAACTCTTCAATTTTCATTATCTTCTATGACGTTTCAATACATCAAAGTTAAAATTATTGAAGCTATTAGTTTTTACGTTTAAAAACGAAGACCATTCAATGCGTTTTAAATCCGATGAAGTGCATTTTTACTTACGTGGCTCGTCGCAGTTCTGAAAGGCGAACAGGAGGAAGAAACGGCGAGAGAGAAGCTGCAGAGCTCTCTCCGTGGTGTAGTCAGGAAGAAAAATCTCAGTTATATTTCACACGCCATCGAAGTGTCATGTGTGCACGCGTGCGTGTTCGTGCGGGCAAGACGCACTGGCACGTACACGCGTGTCCTGCGCTTCTCTCCCACGAAGAACACCAACCCGACCGTATCTTCGTCCTCCTCGCTTTCTTTTTTCATCTTTTTTCACGCCTTTATTTTTTCTGTTTTATTTTTCAGAGACTCTCTCTCTCTCTCTCTCTCTCTCTCTCTCTCTCTCTTTCAATTGCTTTTCAGGGGTGTGAAAATGAGCTCTCGTTTCCCCTTTTCTAGTATCGTATCTATCCCTTAATGTCACCTAAAGCAGATACTTTCTAGGTACATTGCAAAAAACGAGCGAATGGAAGAGAACTATATAAAGTTTTCAAGGATTTTTGAATATCTATGTTAAAGCTCGATTTATAGCAATGATATCCTAATTTAAATATCACTATAAATACAATTTAAATTTTATCTGTAATAATTTACGCAAGATATAATCTCAATTTTATTAAAATAATTTTCAATTTTGAATTATTATATAAATATTGTACTAGTTCACGTACGACAGCAAATGTTAATAGAAATTAAGCATCGTGCGGAAAATAACGGATTTGCAACGTAGTGCAAAATGTGTGACATTTAAGACTTGTATTTCCTCACTGCAGCCATGAATTATGACGCTACAAGCAAAAATCATGTGAATTATTTCCTAACAATATACGTCAAAATAAATTAATTTTTTCGTTTACCACTACGATACATTTGAAGAGAAACTTTTTTTCAGTAAATCAACAAATAGCTGTAAATCTTGATCCAATATCGTGAGAAACATTTTCACAAATATAAGATATGCATAAAGAAAGGAGAGCTTTTTTTCAATATATTTTATCAATCTTATCAATGTTACCAAAGCAAGGCAAGTGATAATAGAATAAAATATTAATTTATTTCGATATGTAGTGCGAGAAAAAATTGCGGAATATTCTAATAATCAATAATGACTTAATAAAAATCGTAATGATGTAAAGAGTGTATTTTTAGTATAATGATCTTGTTACACACTGTTAGAAGTGTTCTTAAATTTTATTAACTTTTAATGTACATTGGTGAATAAAGTTTAATTTCTCTGTAACTGAAAGGACTATTAATGCACATGTTAATGAGATTTAAGTTTACAGTAACTGAAAAATTAAGTGTAATGAAATTTAATATACTTTTCATTTACGGATATAGATGACATTTAATTAATCGTAATTGAAATAACTATTAATATACATATTAATGAAATTTAAGTTTGTAGTATATTAAATTTCATTTACCTACATTTACATTTACGAATATTAATAATATTTTAATTAAGCCTAATACTATTAACGCTTAACGTTTAATACGTTTACGTTTCTTACATGTCATTAACGTAAATTACTTTTCAGTTACAGATCTCGTACTTTTCATTAACGTAAATTAATTTCTATAATAATATGTTCATTAATTTCAATACATACGTTCATCACGTTTAAGACTACTGTAATTTAGTTTTTATTTACATCATTCATTACCTTTAATTTCGTGCATAATCACATGCTTCCTTTACATATGTTAATTAAAATTCATTGAGAAATTTCTAACAGTGCAGATACGACTAACGAAAATACGTATCTAGTACATATCTACGACGTATAACAAGAGGAAGTACAATTATCTATGACGATTACGTTAACTATTAAAATGACGTTAAAACTGACGGAACGGTAACATCATAGAAAACGAAGTGAAAAACGAAGTACGTACGCTATGTTTACATAGCACTCGACTTCTCCTAGATGGGAGGAAATTGGCTGTTCGGAGCGCAACGACGACGACAAGAAACAACAGCTCCGTGTGCACAGATAATCAAGTCTCTTCCGTTAATTGGTAAGCGGCACGATAGTCAATGGTAGAATCTAGACATGGGCAATTGGTGAATATCGGTATTTACACTCTCAGCTTCGTGAATACGGAAGCATCACTGGACCGACTATTATATATGGACGCGAAACGGCGAGATAATTCCTCTATACCGTGCGTTAAAGATGACCTGGTCACGCTCGGCTAACTCGAGGACTTCGACGTATCAATTAAGGCAAGATGAACGCCACACGGAATATCGATGTTCAGGAAGAAAACGCCCTTGTGGGAAGCGACGAGAAATCCCGTTCGTTTCCAATTGCAATGCATTGCAGTGAGAGATTTGGTATTGAATTGAAGCGTGTACGCTTCTCTTGCAAATCATTTCCATTATATCTCACTCTGGCTCCTTTTCCCAATATTAGAATCACATAGGGGAGACCAGGGCTGGTTTTCGTACGGGGTTGATTGTCAAAATGCTTATAATTCACACAAGACACGGCAGAAAAATCTCTTTTTTTGACTGTAGATAGCTGATATAATATTAATTTGTTGTGTAAAATGGTTTGCACCACAAGCATTGTATATATTATTTATAGCGATTTTTGAGAAAATGAAGTTGGTGAGTAAATTTTTATAATCACCGATTTTGTTGTCTGACAAGTCTTTGGCATTATTAACCGTAATATCCCTGTATTCATAGAAAATGACATATCTTAGAAGATCTTTGCTACAATTAAGTAATCATTATTCTGATTTAGTTTGTGAATACAATCTGTTTTATTAAAAATGGTTATGTGGGGTAGATTGACCAAAATGAGACGAGATTAGGTGAGAATTAATTTTTTTTTATATCTTTAGAGGACACATTTTCAGAGAATATACTTGCAAATATATTATATTTCATATAGATATATATTTTTTCATTTTTCATATAGAAACTATGATACAAAAACAAATTACGTATTTTATGATTAAAATAACTATTTTATTTGTATTAATACTATAATTACTATTATTTCTCAAAATATAGAACTGATATTAAAATAAAAATTGTGTTTTTTATATGTTGTCCATAACAAATATGCTACTGCCAATCCTAGAACGTGTGACAATCAACCCAGAACACGGGGTTAATTGTCATATTTTCGCAGCTTCATTTAAAATTAAATAACTTATTTTTATGATATGATGAATTTACGAGTAACATTTTTTTTAATACCTAAAGGATGTAGGTATATATTGTAACGTATATAATATTTCAAAATCAGGCATCCACTTTTTTCTAAAAATCAATAATCAAAAACTGTGACAATCGGTCCCGATCTCCCCTACATGTGCATGGCTATGTGTGTTATTAATTAAATTTTTCGGACAATAGGAGTAATTCTGGGAGATTAGATAAATGGCGTTGAAATGCACCTTGTGAAGGCAGGGGATATCATATATGATCACACAATGTAAGTTATCGAAGCTTTCTCGGCGGCTTTATGGCAGACAATTTGGGAACAATTGAGAATGAGGCGCATAGTTTACTAATTGTCGATGTGGAGAACGATTATTACGCCGCGAAGAAGCCTTTGGCGGAGTGAGGCGTGAGTAATCCGAGAAGATACTGTTAGGTATCTCACACAGGAGGGCTTCTCTCACGTGCCGGGGGCCAATTCCCCAGGTCGCGCGTCGCATACCTAACACGCGATTTGATCCGTTTCTTTTTGAGGTAGGTTATTACCGTATTCCTTGGAGAAGAGCCTAAGTCTTCCAAGTCTCTCGGACCCGCCCATTTCGTTTAAGTTAAATGGAACGTGCGACCAGCCATTAAATTATCTTTTAAAAATATAGATACATGTACCTACTTGCGAACTACGATGCTGGAGATTAAGCGCGCGATGGCTGGAACGAATTACGCATGTTATTAAAAATGTTGGACTATGCAGAGATATATGTACTACTTAGAAAGGATGAAAAAAAGCTTAGTGAAAGTATTTAAAAATTTAGCTACATATAAAGCTGAAAATAATTTTGTTGAACCATCAAAATAATTACGTAGGATGCTCAAATGACTGCTAAAATGTCAACATTTTTTGCAGGATTGCTTGTTATGCTTGATGAGTCAATGAAATTATTTTCATATCTCTCTGCATTAATTTTTAAATACTTTAGCTTATGTTTCGAAATAGTTCTTTCCGTATATTTTTTAAAATTAAAGCATAATTTCTTTTTCCAAAATTAGATGCCCGTCCAGACCTATTTATAACATTTTTGAAATTTCACAACTATACTTCGCAAAACGTGAAATAATTAGCATCAACAGTTATTAAAATGCGTTGATGAGCTTAAATTACAATTTTATGGTTTCCATGCGATGTATTGATTTTATTATAAAATTCACAGAATATTTTACAAAAATCCGTTTTTTACAAAAATGCTGAAAAGATTTACGTGGACATAGATAGCAAGAATTATTTTTCGATTTTCTCACTTTTTACTGCCAAGCCTTTTACTAAAGTACTGATAACAAATTTTTTCTTCAATATACGTGAGTACATACACTCTACCGCATATGCATTAAACGATATTACCTTGCATGCTTTATCGATAGATATTTAAGTCGGCTGACACACTTTTGATATACTCGATTCGTCACATATTCCATTATGTCCTCTCAGTTATATTCTCTTATATTCATCTGTGCGTTATCTTTGACAATTTCACGCATGTTAGGCTGCACGTTTTCTAATGGCTTATCCACGTCACGGGATAGACTTACGCGTGCCTAACAGCTCGATACAACGTGTATGTATCACATAGAACCTGCTTTCGCTATTATACTATAATTTACCTCATGCGTAAAGTAGAGAGAGACCTATCATAATTCGCGCAAAAAATCGGCACGCATAAGATTATGTATCGTGCCGATTTGTTAATTTCACGAGAAATCGATAACCGCGATAATCAAAGTGACTACCGTTTAACGGTCGATATATTGCTTAAGCGTTCGCAGCGTTTCTCAATAAAACCGTATTTTTCCTTAGTATATAATCTATTTTCTAAAGGAAAACTAACTTGCACCGTGTTATAACAAAATATTTTTTGTAAGATTAATTATAAAATAATTTTAGAAACTATATATTCTATTTTTTAAATAAATGTTTTTATTCAATAATATCTAGTGTTTCATCAAGATCAAGAAATTCAAGAAATCTTGTCTTGGTTTTGTCTTGAATCAAGACAAGGTCAAGACAAGAAATTGGAAATTGATTTCAAAACAAGACAAGAAATTGTTATCTAGACGAAGATTTCTTGACAAGAAGTCAAGAAATTTTTTGAATTTCAGTGACAGTTTTTATTTTTAATATTTTATTATTTTAATGTTTAAATATTTTATTTCTCGATTCGAAAAGTTTTGCATAAGTTAGGTTTCAACATTTCCAATTATATTTATTGGTATTTAACAGATTATATAATATAGAAATGTATGTTTATACATTTTCATTAAATAGCAAAATAGCATATGAACACAGTGTAAATCGATTATTAAAAAAGTAAAATCCCTGATCTAACCAAATTAAATCATACTCACCAATATGTCTTTATTGTACTAGATATTAATCTTTATATTTATGTAAAGGAATATATATAAAATGAATATTGCGAGATTACCGGCAAAAGTATATTATGTATAAACATTTGCGTACTTCTACTAATAGTATCAATTAAATCAGGAATGATTAAAATATATAGTAATTATAATAATAATAAATAT